AATTGTTTAGGTCAAGTAGATGTAGAATATGGCCGTCTTAATTTTCGGTTTATCAGTTCCTTGTTCAGAATGTCAAAATTAATGGTAGCAATTTCCAATTAGTAGAAAAAGTGTACAAACTTCTAATATTTTCCACTGATTACACTTCAAAATTTGCAAGTAATGTTAATGCCTTTTAGATCATCCATCAAGAGAAATTGTAGTTAGAAATCAAAAGTTTATTTTGTTTTATAAGCTAATTATTAGGCTTTTTCTATGGATACAATTGACTACCGCAGGTCTTGCCAGGATATTTTATTAATTTTAATTAGCTCCAGTAAATGAGGGTTGAAACCACAGCCCTAATTCGTCAGCTGGGCCATTAAAAGTCCCAAATTGTCCAAAAATCAGTTTTCGGAAATATCTGCCAAAATATGCTGTTTACAAAATTTTTGTAGAAACAAAAAATGAAGAATAGGTAATTACCTAACAAAAATGGACCTAAACATTTTTTACGTAGGTTAGTAATTTTCGGGATATTCCGCCTAGAAGATCCCTAAATTTTCTCTCCAAGTCTTAACGCTCCGAAGATAGATTTCATAAGCATATAATTGGTGGATAAATTGGTTTAATAACTCGAATAAAATTTAATATTTCTTCATTATTCAAAGTTCGTTTCAAAGGTAGAATCAACAGCATCACATCTCGGAACTTACTTGAATTTTGTCGTATTTTTATGATAATAAAAAACCGGCAAACATTCCTTGACCCAAAAATTTTCAGTTTTTACAAACTTATTCATATTTTCACTAATAATAGCTTATTCGTCAAGATTTTTTTAACAGTTGTTCTTAGAGTCCCTTTAAGCAACTCAGAACGTTTAAAGTATTTGTTTAATCACATTTTAGTAAAAAACAACTATTCGTGAATGGCTTTTTCCGCTTTTTTGGGATTTCCGGAAAGTGCCGTAAACAATCGAAAATTGCATAATTACGAATAGTCCAATTGGTTTCTTTTTACGAACAATTTTACGAAAGAAAGTGTCGGGATAATTTTTTTTAGATAAGGACCCAATCTTCAATTTGGCGATCATGAAAATTATCTACATGCCACATTTCGGCCAGTATTAACCCAAACCCATTCTTGGACATTTTAGAGCCATTTTTAAACATTTTCCCGGGATTTTACGAAAAAAAGTGTCTTGTGAACCTTTTTTGTAGATAATGACCTAAACTTCATTTCTTATTCCTAAAAATATTTTTTAAATGGCATATATTGGCAGTCTAATATGAACCAAATATTATCAAAATTAAATTACAATATTTTGAATTTCAGTGCATAATTAATGCCGCCATTTTTTTCTTATTTAAAATTACTACTAAAAATAGTTTTTTTCCACATTAAGGGGTTATTAGTAGTTCTTTTGCGGTTTTTGAGCTAGGTCCTTGGATAAAAGCCTTGCTGTGCCTGTACCCCTGTCTGTTTCTCCAGTAGACATTCTGCTTTTCCCTGATCCAGAGTTTTAGTGCACTACGGGCCATACATTTGGGTATTCCCAGTACTGGCTCTGGACCAAGATGCTCATCGGCGCTTTTATTGCCTTGGTTGCCGCTGTGGCCCGGCACCCAGAATAATTTAATTCTGTAAGGTTAGGTTGCTTCGAGCCAGAGTTCCCAGTTCACCTCCCAGACGAGTCTCGACGATACCTTTTGGCTCATAAGCGCCCCAAGTGCCTCCTGACTGTCTGAGCATATATTGATGAGCTTAATTGAATAAACTTTTCTATTATTTTCTCTGACACATTGTAGAATGGCGAATGTAAATTGCATATTTTGGCAGTCAAATATGAACCAAATATTATCAAAATTAAATTACAATATTTTGAAATTCAGTGCATAATTAATACCCGCATGTTTTTCTTATTTAAAATTACTACTGAAAATAGTTAAAATAGTTTTGATAAAAAAAGAAAAATACAAAAATCGTGTCCGGATAGTTTGCCACAGATCTTCAAATTGTATCTCAAAAATCTCGCTGGAATTAGCTACAAATCCGAGAGTCCCCAACTTTGTGTACACATTATTTTGGTCTCTCGGCAGCGCGCGCGTTTTCCAGCAAAAGCAGCTGTCAAGTTCATTTATCCTTTAAAAGGCGAAACTAAAAAAAATCAACGTAGATTTGTATATTTAGAATTGTTGGCCGCCGGCCAAACTACGGTCCCTCTCGTCGTATATCTCAGCGCGTAAACGTACGTCTTGTTTGTATCCAGACCGGCTTGTGTTTTGATGTAAGTTGTCCATGGTGAACTTTTCCAAGTCAACGTGGAAGAACTGAGAGGTGTGAACGCAAAATATTTATTAGGTGCATACAAAGATACTTATTTTGCCTTGTAATAATTATAATCATCATCATTTTCCGGTTATTCAACCATTACCAATTATGTGTAGCCTCCCACATATATTTAGATACTATCATTGTAATTGGCTCCATTGCTGCCTATGCGGTCCCAAGTTATCCCTGCTAATTTCCTAATACCATTGTCCCATCTCAGGTTTGGTCTTCTTCTAGGTCTCTTAATTCCTCGTGGATACCATGCTGTAATTTTTGTGATCCATGGTCTTCTTACCATTGTGTCTTTTGTCATATCTACTCTATTCTTTTCCGCTCTTTCTTGGATAGTCTCATCATATTTCGTTCCCTTGAGCGTTGTTCGACCTGTATTTTTCTTATAACGTCCGTTTTAAGTATCCAGGTTTCGCAAGCATAATATGTTCTGACTGGTAGTACACATTCGTCAAATATTTTCTTCTTTAGATAAAGGGGCATTCTAGATTTGCATTTGATTGTGTTTCTTCTATAAATACTCCTTGATAACTTAATTTTTCTTTTGATTTCTGGTAGTAGAGATCCCGAGATGCGGATTAGTTGTCCCAAATATATATATATATTCTACTATTTCCAGTGTTATGTTATTTATAAGAATGTCTTTTCTGTCTACTAGTTCGTTGTACACTACCTACTAGTTTTTGCTAAATTTACTTTGAGACCTACTTTACTCGCTTATTACAAGATGTACAAGAATAAAGTAGATCTTGTAATAGTATTCATACCGAAGTAAAACTGTTAATAGAGGAAATAAAAATAAAATACTGCGAAAAATGAGACTTAAGAAACACTATACTGTCTCATCAAAAATAAGATATCTCAGAATTCTGGATTGCAGACTAAGTTAAGCCTTACTATTAATATTAACGTAAATACCCAGACGTAAAACAAGTTTTCTTTAATTATAGTTATTTTAAGAATAGTTATTTCAATGAAATGCATAGTTTCAATCATTTTTAAAGTGTAATTATTAAATACTTAATAATTAAAAACAAAATATCTCCTAATAGTAAGCCATTAAAAAATGCTAAATGGGAACTTAAAAGAACAAAGTCAAAATCTGCAAGGCAGTTAAGTAAATAAATATTAACACTTTGCTCCTTAATTAAAAACAGTGAATAACTAGAAGATAAAAAGCTAGAAAAAATCTAAAAGCATATATCAAGTGATGGTAAAATAGTAAAAAAGGAATCGAGGCACACTACAGAAAGTTGTTTTTTTTCTATTCTTATTGTTGTTTATGTATTGTTTATTGTATAATATTATTTTTCCTCATTCAGTATTTCTGTATTGTCCAGATTGTTTTGAGCTTACGGGTTCGGTATTAGATACAGGTAAAGTTTTAAGCATCTTCAAAAATTGATGATAAACAAGGATTCACAAATTCGAATTTACCACAAAACCAGGGCAGTTAAACCTTAATATCTCTATAAACTAAATAAAATTTCCTAGAAACCTTGAGATTTTCAGAATTTTACATACAGGTTTACTAATTTTTCTAAGAGCCTTGAAAACAGTTAAAAAAAGTTGAAAATTGGGCAAATTTTCGACTTTTTCCATGCATATAGTCATAAAAATTGTAGATTTTGGCCTAGTCACCGATTTGAAAAAGGGATGTTACGCTGTTTTGAACTTATGCTGCATAATTAAATATAGGCAAAGATTTAACCATCTTCAAAATTCGCTGATAATCAAGGGTTCACAAAACCAAAAGATTCAAACATTAATATTTTTATGTTTTCTAAAAGTTTTTTTCAAAATTTTTCAAAAAATTTTCAAAATTATTATAAATCTTAATTTGTAAAATAAGCAATAAGTTCTATTCATCCAAGTTAGCTTGTATGTTTTCAAAAAAAATATATTTGTACTATTTTGATTCGGTAACAATATTTTCAAAAAGTTTGTGAAATTGAAAAATTTGGTTTAAATTTCTAGAGAAGCTATATTTGCTAAAATTTTGTAGACTCAAAATTTTGTGTATTGCTATTAAGAAAACACAGAATTATTTATTAAAAATCTGTCAGCTGGTATAAAAAAACCTTGTTAAATTTTTATTTTTAAGTCAGACTACATTTTTCATAAAATTGTGCTTCTGTTAAAACATAATGTTTCAGTGTTGTTTATGAGTAATTGGACTATTTTTTCGAATTAATAGAATATAATTTATTTTCGAGTTCCAGTTCATCTGTAGGCGTAAAATGTATATCCAAAGGTCTGTCAAAAATACACACATTACCGCTATGTAAATACTGGCAATATATTATATTCATTATGTATTCATTCCTAGAAATTCAAATCGTCAAGTGGCAGGTATTGCTAATAAGTAATAAATAATCTTTATTATTGACATAAAATAAAGGATTTATTTAAGTAATAATTGTGAAGATTATCAGACAATCTCCAATTTTTCTAAAAATAAATTCTTTTGAACCAGAAAAATGTTTAGAAATAAATCACACAGCTTTAAAATTGTAGTATTTCCGATAATTATAAATCAAGTTTGTAATTATTACTTCCTTATTTAGAATATACTAGGTGAGAATATTTTTAATTCATTACGTAATTTTGAGACGCATCCAAAGATAAAAGTTATACTCAAATAATAAAATCTAACAAAATAATACGCAAACACTAACCTTGGTAAGGTGCATAAATATTCAAATATAAACAGTCTTCGCTCTCGTTGAGTAAATACTTCTTCAACCTCAAAAAGTATCGCTTCCTTTCTTCTATCATTGTGGACTCGTCTGGAAATTTTTGTGGACACACAGGTCCAAATTCGTACGCGTACTTTGTTTCTTGCCAGGTATATAAAGTGCTGCTTGGTGGCATAAACCTGTAAAAAATATAAGCTTGTTTTATTTGAATGTGGTAGAAAATAATTTAGTACTAGAAAAATTTCGGACTTCCATTTTCTTTATTTAATGTAACGTATCAGGCTACTGAGGCCGTATACTAGAGTAAAACATTTAATCACGACTGAGCTGGAAGCAGTCAATATGCTTTCAGATTTTTCTCTTCTATACTAATTGGTAAAAGTTTAAAAAAAATCTGTAAAAAAATTTGTCACCCATAAAATTATGATCATGCATACCGTTGCTTAACCTCGATAACTGATTACGTACTTTAAATAATAGAGACTATATTTTGTATAGTTTAATTACAAATGTATAGTTTCCAGATTTTTCCCTAGAGTATGTCCTCGGATTGTCTTTACAAAAGGAAAAACTTTTTTATTATTGACATTTTGAGAAAAATACATTCTTCATTCAAAATTTCCATTTTCAAACTTCAAATTTTTACAGTCAATCCCATTTAAACTTTTCTCAATTTCCATACCGTTTTAGTGAAAATTAGGGTAAATTTTTTCTAAAAATCTTAAATCCCAAAAATCATTTCGTTTTCTTTCTTTGATAGATTGTTATCGATAGAATTTTAATTAACGTCATATTTTTGCTCTTTTAAAAAGTTAAAGAAACACACAATTTATTTAGTTCAATGCATCGGAAAAGGTGATAATAGTTATCAGAAAATTTGATACTTTAAACAACAATAAAAAATCTGACCTTAATCAAAATTAATAATAAACATTTATCAAAGAATTAAATAGATTATATTACCATAGAAACACCTTTCGATTTTAAGGACTTTTCTTTTAGGAAAAAATTCAACCATATTTTCATGATTTTTTAATTATCTCAAAAAGCGTATGGAAATTTGGAAAAGTATAAACGGGATTAAACCATTTTAGAACAAGCAAAAATTATTATGAAGGATTCATTTTACTCAAAATGTTAATATTAAAAAGTTTTTCCTCTTGTAAAGATAATCCAGGGACATGTGTATTTGTAGTATAAGAAGGTATTATCATAGTAGAAGGAAAATAGTAGTTGCACTCTCCAAAATATGTTCTGCTAGTTTCTACAATCTGTCGAATATCGGCAGATTGCAGATAGTTTCAGTTATGTTCCGCCCGCCAACTTGCGAGGTTCGAGCGTTGCGTCCCAGCAAAGAGACGGATTGATAAAAAATGAGTGCCTTATTGTGTGCTGCTATTGGTTGTAGTAATAATTAAAAATTGTGTTTCTAGTTTTTTTTTGAGAGTCATTTGTGATCATGTTTGTGTTCAGGTTAATTTCCTCATGACTGATTATTACTTAATAATTAGATATTATTTTCATTTAAACCTCAATTTTTATCGATTTTGCTTTTGACAACCATCCCTTGCTTGCTGTTTAACGAACTGCACCATCATTGAACAAAAATTTGCTAGTACCGAAAGTACAAAAAAACTGGAAATCCCGGTTCCTTAGAGGCATAGTACCGAAATTACCGGTTCAATAAACAGTTCCGGTTCCGGCAACGCTATAACGTACCATAACCGTGAATCGCCCTATACAGGGTGAGTCTTAAATAAGATCAAATATTTTTAGGGGTAGTATATTTTGGTCCCAGAAATATAAGTATTTTTTTTTAAATCTGGAAATGTTTGTTGTTTTTAGTTAAAAAACATAATTTTTGATAATATGGTAACTAGGGTTCAGAACCGGAAATTCCCGGTTCTTTTGAGATATCAAAGAACCAGGTCTCGAAATTATTAATTTCCGGTTCTATTGAGTAGTGATGCTATTTCTCATTGTTCTTGCTTCTTTTCTCTTTTGAAATTTCTGTAATGTTTATTAGCAATTATTGAAGTTTAAATATGTTATTTTATTATTTAGTACAATGTGTTGTTCAATGTATTAGTTATCCAATGAAAATCACCTAACCAATATATTACTACAAAACAAACAAATTAATGGTAAAATTAAACTTGTTTTAAATTAAAAAAAAAGTTGTTGAATATCTTTGAAATAGATAATAATGTAAAAATATGTCATTATATATATTTTTTTCCGCATTTCTTCCCATCAGAAGATTTTCAGATACAGAAGAATTGTTACTTACACGAAATGTGAAAATATTCTGTTTTCAAGCAAATTTTTACTCGATAGAATAAATATTAATATAATTATAATATAAATAATAAAATTATAAATAATTATAAAAACAAAGGTATATAAAAATGTATTACCTTAAGTGTCCTATAGGTGGCGCGGCGTATGGTATCCCCCTGTACACTTCCACCCAAGGCAGTTCGGAGTTTCGCGGCCTCACGATCATCCCCTGCACATAACCTTGCTTTTTCAGGAATATTTCGCGTGAAGGTCTACGAACGTCATTATAATACTGGTCACTCGGTACATTAGGATCACCCAGCGACACGGAGTATAGTGTTATGATGATGGTCATCGATTTAGTGATGTAGCACATCGTCACTAGGTAATGTTTGAGTTCTCGTACGTCATGCACTACTTAAGTGTTCGTTGTAAAATTCACTTCATTATACGTTTTAGAATTTAATCTTTGTTTTGGTTGCGAATATACTATATTAGCAGCATTAATCCTGTAGATACTAATAAAAAGTCTTTTCTTTATACAGGGTGGTCCGAATTGTATTTGGAAAACTTGAGCAGCATATTCTGCAGATAAAATTAAGTAAAAAAGTTTGAATAAAACCATCCCCTAAAATGTTTCGTTTTGGAGATACAGGGTATGGAAGTTTAATTTCTATTTCATTCTTTTTTTTTAATGATTTCTAAATAAATCTACACATTTCGATAAAAATTTGTGTTTTTTGACATGAGAAATTTTATTTAGATGTCAGTATGAGTTCTATCTACATATAATGGACGTTATCTACGTATTTTTAACTGTTTTGAAGAATACCTAATAGCTTATCGTCCTAGCCTGTATTATGTTAGAAAATATCAATTTGGGTCCTTATTTTTAGCAACTAAGGTATTTTTGTATGAAAAAAAAGATAATGAGAAAATAAGAAAAATAAATCACTATGAGTCAATAGTTCAGTCGTATATATATTATTACTCTTAAATGATTATATCCATTTACCATTATTTTCCTATTATAAAATTTTATTGATATGTCTTTTTTGTGTTCTGCAATATCCATGTATGTTCTATTTGTAATTTTAATGACGTACATTTTTTTTGAATTGTATGATTTGTATTGTATGATATTTTTTATTATATGTATATTTTTTTGTGCTTTTGTTTGGTTTTTAAAGGCTTTGTCTAATGTATATTTTTTATTCACCAATTTTATACTAAACTTTCTTTTAACTACCTAATCAAAATTATTATTTTTGTCAATTATGACTTGTATTGATAATTTTGTATTTAAAGCGACCATAACGAACATCTACGTAAAAAACTACAGAAATGTATATAAAAAATATACATTTCTGTAGTTTTTTGAATAAAAAATTCACCAATTTCATACAAGCATAGACGAAAATAACCCTACAAGTGCAAGAAGGCACATTGATATCGAAATTAAATTTCTCATGTCAAAAACCATCCAGACACCAATTTTCCTCCAAATATCGACGCTATTTTAGAAATTCTTGGAAAAAATCGAAATAAAAATGAAATTTCTACACCCTGTATGTTTGAAACGAAGCACTTGAGGACACAAATTTAGAAGACCTTTTTTACTTATTTTTATCTACAGAACACGCTGTCGAAATAGTCACTAAAACCATCTCCTTATATTGAAATATAACATAAAAAAATAATGATAATTGAAAAAATTGCAAATTGTTTGTGGCAAGTTTATTTCGCTCTTAAGTATTAATTTTCCCTCCTCGGTTACTAGGTAACCAACCTGTGTACGCCGCTGGCATGCACAAGCCTGCTGCATATTTTAGTTCATTTTACTGTTGGATATAAATGCTATTTTGATATTTTGTCTCGCATTCCAGAATACTTTCACACTAAGTTCTCTGCATTTTGTGTCGTCATAATTAGTTCCCTTACTTGTTATGTTTTATGTCAATTCATTATTTCTTATACAGAGTGGCCCATCGAAAACGTTCCGCAAGGCATAACGGCCAGGATATTTTTTTTTTTCAAAAAATCCAAAAACACGTCAATTTTGTTTGTGAGGGGGACAACTTTTGCCCCAAAAATGATTGCAAAATCTTCAACCCTCTAAGCGGGGGTGTCATCCCCCAACTTTTTTCAAACGGGAAGGGAGGTCAAGTGGTACCGCAATGAAAAGGGCTTTTTATTCTCTATACTTTCCCGCTTCGTTTTTGAAAATCGGTCGAGTCATTGAGAAAATATGAAGGATTGAAATTTGAAAAGTTTATTTAAACATTTATCAAAGTAAATGATAATAACGAATTTCTTCGACCAATTTGCTGTTTTTTCTTATTATTTCTAGATGTTTACGCATTTTTTCACTTGTCACAAGGTTGAACGATCAAGTGCGGCAGTTGCTAGATAGCTGTTCTGTGACTTGTGCGTTGAAGTCTTCTCAATATCGTTAAACTGACCTAAAATAGAATTTCCAAAAATACCAGCCCGCACGTTCAATTTCTGAGAGTTTTGTGTGTGCACCTCGTGAAAAACCCCTCAGCCCAGTACCGACAGTTATGCCGATTAACTACACCGTTCAAAAAGAAAGTAGGGGAAAGTGGGGTAAGTTGACGAAGCGGGTAAAATGACGAATGTCGATAAAATCATTATAACGTAATATATTTCCATTCGCATAGGAAGCGCCATCTCGTTAGTGTACCCTGAAGTAACTCAAATAGTTTGGAAAGGCTTGGACGGCGTGCTTTTCTGTTAGAACTGATTTGTGGATTTCACGTGTGTCGGTAAACATTTTCGTACAGTGTTTTTAAGGTTTACAGTGTTCCAAATTAAGGTAAGACCGAAATAAAATATTACATATAAAAAACTAGGTATATATGCATGTTATGCTAAAAAAGTTTGCATAAACAAAGCTATTTATTAAATATTTTCTCATGGAACATTAAACATAACCTCTAGGGGCAAGATGGCCCGGGTAAGTTGACGAGTTCGTCATCTTACCCTACTGATCGTCATTTTACCCCATTATTTAATTTATTACAGCTCCGAATGGAGAAATAAGTATTTCGTAAAATGTTGTGCTCTTTTTAGATGCCTCGAATATACCAAAGAAAGACAAACAGACGTGCGTGGGATGAAAATGCTATGATTGCGGCTGTGCATGAAGTATTAGATGGAAAATCTTGCAATGGTGTGGCTTCTCTATACGACATCCCAGAACCGACTCTGCGCAGGTATGTGAAAAAAATGAAAAATGATCTGCAACTACCGATGCATGGAGGGAGATATTCTACTACGTTTAATTTAAACCAGAGCCAGGCACTAGTAAATTATATTACCTTGATCGACAAAAGAGGTTTTGGATTGACAGCCATACAACTAAGGAAGTTAGCCTATGACTTTGCTGAAGAACAAGGAATAACACATCGTTTTAACAAGGAACGGAAACTAGCAGGAAAGGATTGGTTATCTAATTTCATTAAAGATAATAAAATAAGTCTAAGAACTGCTGAGGCCACTTCAGTTGCGCGTTTAATGTCTTTTAACAAGCCCGCTGTCCAAAAGTTCTTTGACATTCTACGCGAAGTTCTGGAAAAATACAAATTTAGTCCCGACAGAATCTACAACGCCGACGAAAGTGGCCTGTCGTCTGTTCCGTGCAAACTACCAAAAGTTTTAAGTCCAGTCGGGACTAGAAGAGTAGCTAAAGCTGTTTCGGCCGAACGAGGCAAAAATACTACTGTTGTGTGCGCAGTTAATGCAGTTGGCAACTATGTCCCTCCTTATTTTATATTTGGTCGCATTCGTATGAAGGAAGAATTACTCTATGGTGCTCCAATAGGTTCGGATGGCACTGCACAAAAAAATGGATGGATGTGCACTGAAATTTTTGTTAAATACTTACACCATTTTTCCAAATATGCTCATTCATCGCCGGAAACCCCTGTTCTTCTTATGGTAGACAATCACTCTTCTCACATATCTTTACCTGCAATCAACTATTGTAGGCAAAAGGGGATAATCATGATTGGATTCCCACCACATACAACACACAGGTTACAACCGCTTGATGTATCATTTTTTGGCCCGCTGAAGTCGTTTTTTAGCCGAGAATGCGACAATCATCTCGTAAATCACCCTGGGCAGCTAATTGGGGACAAACATATTTGTCAGCTATTTGGAAAAGCATATAATAGGGCCGCAACGGTATCAAATGCTGTGAACGGCTTTAAAAAATGCGGTCTTCAACCTTTTGACCCTTTTGTATTTGGCGACGACGATTTTGTAATGGCTGAAACAACTGAAAGGGCACCGCATCAACCACCCGTTTATCAAAATTCCGATAATGAATCTGATGATGATATTCCTCTAATAAATTTTGTGAAACCCCAAAAGGATATTGAGAAAAAATCAACAATAAATATGACTTCAAATTCCCCAACAAGTGAAATAGTTTCAAGCACACCTCGTCATTTCGAAAAAGTAACGCAAGTAAAAAGAAATCTGTTTAGGGCGGAAAATAAAGAAAATGAGCCAATTCCTGGAACGAGTCAAACCGATAATAAACTGAATGAAGTGACACTTCAAAAAATTCGACCTTTTCCAAAAGCCGAAAGGGGGGGAAATTGTAAAAGGAAGAAGTTGACAGCTAGTGTAATAACCAGTACACCCATTAAAGAACAGTTGGAGGATAAGGAATATCAGATAAGACAAAGAGAAGAAAAGAAACGAAAAATTATAGAAAAAAAAAGTCAAAAAATCCCTAAGAAGCTAAAAGAATCAACAATTGCTTCCAAAAAAGAGAAAGTAATGCCACTGACCCCTCCCAAGAAAACTAAAGAATCTATTTTCTGCCCTGGTTGTGATGAATTATACCAGGATCCCCCAGTGGAGGACTGGATTAGTTGCAGCAATTGCCAGTATTGGTGGCACGAAGCTTGCAGCAACTACAATGGTGTAAGTGAGTTCGTTTGTGATTACTGCTAAATCCATTATGTTAGTCAACTTACCCCATTATGTTAGTCATCTTACCCTTTAGTGGGGGTAAGATGACAGATTTGCAGTATATTAAAAAACATGTTTTGTTCAGTTTAAAATAATTTGTTTATTTTTAAATATATGTGTTTTTTATAGTAAAATGTGTGTGTTAATCAAAATAGAATACAACACTCTCGTAACTTGAAAATTTAAATAAAAAAATCTATATTTTGCTTAACATCGCCAACTTACCCCACTTTCCCCTACACTCATCCGAAAAACACACATTAAATAGGAAATTATTATCATTCGCCACTCGTTCACTCACAGTTTCACAAAATTGCAAGCGACGATCAAAATCGTCTTCGTTGAGTTCTTGTACCAACTGAATTTTGTACGGGTGGAACTTGTGTTTTTTTTAATATCCTTTGGACACTGGTACGATTCACGCCGGCTAATTTTGCATTGGTTAATTTTCTTGTACTCAGCGTACTATCCATGGCAACTTGGCCCAATACGAATACCTCCATAGCTTCATTTACTACAGGGTTTTCCCTCTGCCTCTTTTTATTCATAACGGAACCAGTTTCGCGAAATTTTGCTACTAACTCGCGAACAATTTTGCCATAAAGGTGTTTTTCAGGAAGGCATTCATTGAATATCTGCGGAACCCGATTGCTACATTCATTATTTTTAAAATAAAGTTCGATTATTTCCACTTTTTCTGCAAGTGAGTACACCATAATTGTTAAAAATTTAACAATATTGAGCAGAACTTCAACGCACAAGTCACAGAACAGCTATCTAGCAACTGCCGCACTTGATCGTTCAACCTTGTGACAAGTGAAAAAATGCGTAAACATCTAGAAATAATAAGAAAAAACAGCAAATTGGTCGAAGGAATTTATCCTTATCATTTACTCTGATAAATGTTTAAATAAACTTTTCAAATTTCAATCCTTCATATTTTCTCAACGAACAATTTTCAAAAACGAAGCGGGAAAGTATAGAGAATAAAAAGCCCTTTTCATTGCGGTACCACTTGACCCCCCTTCCCATTTGAAAAAAGTTGGGGGATGACACCCCCGCTTAGAGGGTTGAAGATTTTGCAATCATTTTTGGGGCAAAAGTTGTCCTCCTCACAAACAAAATTGACGTGTTTTTGAATTTTCTGAAAAAAAAAATACCCTGGCCGTTATGCCTTGCGGAACGTTTTCGATGGGCCACCCTGTATATAAATTTGTAAAATTGCAATTTGTAGTAACTCATTTTAACAATTCTACGTATCTAATATAATAATATTTGCAGTATTATTGGAACATAAAAACAATTTAGTGTTTTCTTTGGCTTTTAATGTCAACAACCACTTCCATATAGAACTGTTCAAAACCATCTATAAAATTTATTGTTTACTTTAGTTTTACTATAGTAAATAAACTCGAATTTTAAAGTTCCAGGCTTATATTCTCAGTAAAATAATAATAGCCTTATTAATTTTCTTTTTTATTTAAATTAAATAGGTTAATCGCTCATTTTGTTCAGCAAATCATAACCGCTAGTAAACATGTTATATTAAGGAACAATTAATTATTTTTGTATTTATAAACCCCATGAACCTTTTGACATAAAACATTATACATTTTTTTTACCTTCACAAAAGTATTAGTTCTTGCGACGTGATTGACAATAGAAAAACGTGCCTAGGCATAAAACTAAATCCCTGACTAAATCACTTTTACGCATAAAGGATGATTCATGGTACACCGGGCCGTACCCGAGCCGGGCACGTTCCGTAAAGTAGACACCAAGCCACGTCCGGGCCTTCAATATATGCTACACCGAGTGGACAACGGGGATCATGTCCGTGCCGATTATATTCTAGAAAACAGTGTTGCCGCAGTGGTACATTTGTACCAAATTTGATACTTTTAATTCTATTTGGTACAGTGGTACTACATTTTCAAATCCAGGATGATTTGGTACAATAATTATTTCCCACGCGCACCGAAAATGAATAGATATTTAATAATTATTGTCGTTGATATTGCATTAAACGCGCTTACCGATACCATTCGGAGACAATCCGCATTAATTAACGACGTATTATAAACGTTGTAATGTCTATAGCGTTGCCTATATTAAATAACCCGAAGAAAAAACTTGAAAATTTACTGTTTCTAACATGCTTCTATATTTGCGTTTTTTAATAAAATTTAAGTTTTCCATGTATTGTGTGTAGTATTAGAATTACTTAGATAGATTTCTTCAACCTATACATACTTATAATTGGGTTTTCTGAATTTCTATTTCATGTTTTTCGTCTCGATTTGTGTCTTTCTCCAGGAAGTTTTTTTATGTAGAAATTTATGAAGAAATTTACAGCGACCAAACCGGTTAAAGTCATTTGCAGATGTATTTTGTTGTGCTTTAAAAAATTGTACCAAAGTGGTACATTTTAATTTATAATGTGGTACGCGCTGAAAGTTGGGTGCGGAAACACTGCTAGAAAACAGTCGCTATAGGCCCGTAGACGAACGAAGTATTTACAGGTATTTAGCCCGGGCGACTCATTTATGTTTGCCGCAACGGGGCCGGACCGTAGCGGATCCGAGGAAAAATGTACACTGACATTTCTCGGACGGGGCACGGACGCGTTCCGGCGAAGCTCGGCCCGTGCTCGGCTTAGCATGAATGCATAAGTAAAATAACATTTGACAATGTTTGGCCGTGCCTTCACCGTCGCACGGCCCCGGCCCGTCACGGTGTACCATGAATCAGCCTTAACAGCGCTTTCAGATGGAGCGGAGCGTCCGCAACGGAGCGTCCGCAACTTCGAGCAAGTATCATGAGTTTATATTATGAACAATTTCACATGGGCCCTTATGCTCCGTCCGACGGAGTTCGTCCGATGGTTATCTTGAAACAAAACAACGACGGACGGTCCGTCGCGGACGCTGTTACAGCGCTTTCACTTTTACATTAATGTGTTTATGTATATGGCCGTCATCCGGACGGAGCATACGCGAGTCATGTGAAATTGTTCATACAAACTCATGGTACTTGCTCGAAGTCGCGGACGGGCCGCTCCATCTGAAAGCGATGTAAGCATAGAAGTACGCAAAATATATTATTAAAGTAGAGGTAGAAGGGGGTTTCACCATCAGTGGAGCAGTGGAGCAGGTGGAGCAGAGCGCGTAAATCAGCTAGGAACATGTAAAATAGGCTAATAAACAAGAATAAACGGGTTTGAACTGCTTTGAACCGCTTTTGAACAGCTTTGAACAGCTTTTTAGCGTAAAACAACAGACCTGTGCAGTTTTTGTTCAAACCCGTTCAAAGCTGTTCAAAAGCGGTTCAAAGCGGTTCAAACCCGTTTATTCTTGTTTATTAGCCTATTTTACATGTTCCTAGCTGATTTACGCGCTCTGCTCCACCTGCTCCACTGCTCCACTGATGGTGAAACCCCCTTCTACCTCTACTTATTAAACTGAGATAAAGTATCAAATTCAACGAGCGCAACTATAGTTTCTCGATATATATTTACTTACCAAGTATTACTTTTAAATATTGTTATATTTTAGAACGTTTGAAATTGTTTAAAATATTATTTGTGGCGTTTGAAAAAAATAGTAAATTTCTATTCGGAGTAAAAATGACTTTTTGTGCCTAATAATTTTTGCTTCTAATAAAACAATATACTATTATATTCATGAGATATCATTTTGTAATTTCGAGAAATGTGGAAAACACAGATTTTATTTAATAATAATAATTTAATTGACAAATATTTATGGAAAAGTTCGCAATAAAGGAAAACAAATTGATATCTAACATATATCCAAGAAAATCAAAATATTCAATAATAGCTATTTGTTGAAAAACATATCAGTCATCAATTATCTGAAAAGTACGCTGATAAAATGTATATTTCTATATAATTTTGTAATAAAGTCAATCCTTAATGTTTTCAATAAGTCGAAATTGTACAATAATATTTATTTAACAATCACTGTCAGAGTATATTTTCAGTTAAAAATAGACATTATCATTATTCATTATCTATCTGTATTTAAAGGAAGAACATACAGATAACTTAATTATTTTTTCAGAAATTATTTTTTAAAATATGGATTTAGGAAATAAATACAATTAGTTGTTTTAAAACAGTCAGGGCAAGATTGGAAATAAAAATATTGTTTTTTTAATTGAAAATCTAAAAAGCATGTGCGCCACTGACTTTCTTTTCTCTTTTTAACAAAATTGTCTCCTGATAGGTATTTGAATCCTTGAAATCGTTTGGAAGAAAATTATAATACATAAAAAAAAGATGTTAAGCCCTGGTAGCTACGAAACGACGCAGAATCGGATCTATGATGACATAAAAAAATTAATTTTATTTTTACATGAGGAATCTTCAAGGGAGAGATGGCACATGTTTTTTTAATCACCCTATATAGCTTCTAAAACATTAAGGTATTTTTTACTTTATTCGATAGAAAATTACACTCTGAATAGAATGACATATCAAATGTCAACTTTTGACATTTTCTCTTTAAAAAAATTGTATTTTAAATTTCAATCTCAAGTGCTGAATGGTTGTGTTAAAAATACTAATTTTTAGTCAAGGAGCCTTGAAAAAATAGATTTGATCTTCTAATGTTTTTCATCTCTTGTACTGACCGGTTAAAAGATGCCCCAATTCTATTTTTAATCATAATATCTCAATTTTTTTCAAATGGAACAAGGGTGGCTCATTAGCATATTTAGAAAAAGCATTTTTTTACGAATAATTTGATATCATACACTTGGTGTTTTGAGGAAAATTATCGTTATGAACCGGGGGCATTTTACAATATCCTATAAACCATAATTATGCCAAAATGTCAAAAGTTGATTCAAATGACATTCTATTCATTGAGTGTCATTTTCTGTGGAATAAAGTAAAAGAATACCGAGGATGTCATTTAAATATCAAAAAATGTAGTAATTTCCGGTGAAACAGGAAGTTAACAAAAACAATTGAATACGTTAATCAATCCTAATTTATGTCTTATACTAAGATTCTAAGTTTCGTTTTTTTATCGGAAGAATAAAAAAGTTATAGAGGTGAGCCATTTTTGAGACGCACCCGGTATAGAGTGTTGATTATAATAAATATCTAAGAATATCTTGCAATTAATTAAAAATCAATAATAAGCAATACTTTAATATTTGTAAACAAATATCTTAATATTAATCAACTTTTCATAGGACCAGTAAATATTTGCAGCCAAAATTAATCAAAACCATGGAAGAGAGATTCAGCGTTTCAACGCTTATGTATCTAAACAAACATTTTAATCCCGCAAATCAAATCACAACCAAAACCGATACGTTGTTTATTTTCTTCTTCCCGAAATTTCAACACTCACTTCCCTCACGCACACTAAGACAATCCGTTTATTATTTCGAACTTTATTACTAGTTATAAACTCGCATTTCAATATTTCGTCGCGCTTTTCACACCAACTTCGACACACTCGTTACTTTGACTCGTTTACCACGTTTTTACTATTCGTTAATGATCGATTTTTCGGAAAAAATCTTTCAAAGGCTATCGTTCGCATCGACTTTCAAAATTCGAACTGTCAAATTCGGAGAACGCAAACTTTTCGACACATTATTTCAGCCAAGACCTACGTTAAAGCTATTTTCGGACGCGCACGGGCGTATTTTTCTGAATTCATGGCCAAAACCTATACCTAGTCTGTTCAAACGAAAAAGTCAATGACAGTGATAGATGTGTCTGTCATTTTAATTTTTGGGTAGTTTATTTTATTTTACAAAGAAATAAGTTGGTACAATTGGAATGAAAAGTGGAAAATTACTACACTTTATCAGCACGAAGAACAGACAACTTAAAATTTGATTGATTTTGAATTGTTGATATTTTAGAGTTTAATATATTTTGTTCTAGTGATCCGATTTTGATCATCTTTAAGCAATTTGTAGCTAAATTATTTGACTTTTTAGTACCTCTTTATAAATTTAAAATGAAAATTTCCATCTGTCAATATATACGAGGGAAAACAAAATGTTGATATTTTGATGAAAGTTTAAACACCCTGTGGAATATGTTAACAAAGCAAGGAATTTAAAAATCATGTTGTCATCTAAGTACTTTTTTTCTCGATAATTTGTTTTTCGATTCGTTTCAATAGCTTTATTTTTATTGAAGATATTCGCTTTTGAATAAGACAGTAACGGTTTTAACGCAATTTTAGCATTCATTTTGGGTCCTCATCAACACACTTATGTTATGTATGTGACTTATCGATAAGTGGTTCACAGAATACAGTCCGTTAGTCCTGGACTATACATATATGAATTACAGCTTTAAGTACTTATTTTTCTTAAGAGCGACCCTGCGAGGTCCCATCTAAACCCTAATGTAGGTAGATTCATTTTGACCGTTCGTTGTAACTTACACAGCTTTTTGTAATTCTTATTGTTTTTCGTCTTGCTATTTTTATTAAAGTGAATAAAGTTAATTAATTCTAACTAGAAGTTGATTTTCATTTATTATAACTCTTATAAAATAGTGTTTATTGTTTTTTTAATGCCACTGTCATTGGAAAGTCATATTATTATTGTTTATTGATGTTTACTCTAGTAGAGAGAGCTTTAAGTACTGAAATATCGGATATGGTTGCTCTCATTGATCATGCAACTTTTGGACTTATAAACTATATCTGCAGAAGTAACCTCCCAACAGATAATAATAATGTGATTCTCTTTAAAGACAATGACATTATATAAATCATAATCATTAATTTATAAGTCTGTTGGCTACGACCAAAAGCAAAGGCATGGTTTTAATGTAAAAAATACGAAAAAAATTTAACTTTCTTCTTCAAAAGCGAATATCTCCAAAAAAATAAGCTAACGAGATGAATCAATAAGCAAACTATCGAAAAAAGATACAACTAGATGTTAAAATGGTTTTTTAAATTCCTTGATTTGTTAACGTACTCCACAGGGCGTTTCAAAATCATCCAAATAGGTCCAATCCTGCTTCAAACAGTACACCGTGAGTTGGGACTCGTATCTCTGCACTCCCTTTCGGCTTTACTGTTGGCCAAAACAAAAAAATGGACCAGGATGAGGACACCATGAACCAATACAGCCGTAACTATCGACTAGCCTTAAAGATAGAAGTAAAGCAGCATGGGGCTTACGCTACATCCATACTGTGACAATCTGTACATAGGACAAACTACCCGTACATAGGACATCCGTTCATAGAACACTCGTAGACAGGAACTACCCATACAGCACATCAAATCACATTTACGATGTGTTTACACTATTAGATGTAGACACAGGGTGACACAATTCCCCCGATGTAAATATGCTACGTTTACACATTGTAGTTCAACACGTATGCACAAAGGTTAAACGTCCGCCTCATTATGTAGCCACAGTATAGCATTTACGTATACACAAAGCAAGGGATACACAGTGTGCCGTAGGATACACAGTGCTTGTGTATTACGTTTAAACTCTGTTTACACATTGCAGTTGTGACTACCGCGTGTATATGTATGTATTTTGCTTCGTATATACATCTTGTGCTAGATAAAACTACTTCTTATGAACGAAATTAGGAAATAATACAAGTTTTGATGCCTAACTTTTCGTTCTTTTTAAGAAATATTTATTCAATGATACCAATTATATCTTTTTAGAAGCTTTAAAATACATGAAAATTTATTGTGCCCGTTTTTCGTGCAGGTATATAAATTGTTTAATTAACATTTTAGTGATTGCTTCAAAATATTATAAAAAAAACTGATAAAATCCAACCCGTTCTACTTCTCTACTTCTACTTCATATCTTAGAGCAGCATAATAATAAAAAAGAGCATACAATATTACGTATTATCCATAAAAAACTTAATTTTTATTAAATTATATTATCTGCCATTTACAATTCCTCAATTTCAACAGCAAAATCGTAATCACCAACTTCAAAAAGCCCAATACAGGGTAAGTCTTAAATAAGTGCAAATATTTTTAGTGCTGTTAGATATCGATAAAAGAATCATATTTCCTCTTTACCTCCTTTTAAATAAATCCAAAATAACCGAGTTATTCAAATTTGCAAATAAAAAAAAATGTTTTATTTTTAAAAATATAGAGATCCACCGGAATTTTTTGTACAAGTGTGTTTAGTGTCATGTAAATGATTATTCGATTGTTGCCATACTAATATTAATTTATTCTACCTTTCGTATAATATAAATTCATATTGTTCGATGGATCATTACAATGGTTGTAAAATATTAAAACTAGGTTACCTTAACAATAATTTGCATTATGAATTGGGTTTGCATCTCTTTCACTTCCGTAACCATAGAGTAAAACCGTCATGGTAATATCAGAGATTAAGAAATTATACCGCGGAAAAATTTGGGACGAACAGGCGCACAGTGCTTCGTCCCATGGACAAAAATCAAAAAATAAGTTAAAATTTACTAATATCTGAATACATAATTTTATACTTATAGCAATGTTCAACCATCCTGTATACTATTTTTCATAAACAGCGTTTTTGTTAGCAAATATTTTCACTAAAAATACATTTTGCGATCATTATCTCATCAGTGAAAAGAATAACATTCATAGTAGTTCTGTGTATTATGGAGTTAAACGGGTACGTACTTAATTGAAAGCCACTATGGATATTGTTAAACAAGGTATGTACTTTAAATTTATTTCTAAACAAGTTCGTGATTGTTTAGTTTTTATTTATTTTTTAAGATGATTCTTAAATGGGTATAAAAATTTTACGTTTTCAAACTTCAAAAGGCATTTAAAAAACATATCAAAACATATCGTATTTATTGAATATTTTTGTTGCCATATTCATACACTTTTAATTTTTGTATAGTTCACCTGCGTCTGCTTGCGACGAACTTTATTTTATAATACTTTTCAGATGGAGTAAAATTGATAAGCAATGCCGATCTGGCTAATACTTCGCTTGATCATAAGGACAAGAACTCAAAATTATTTGTATTTCAAAAAATATGTTCTTATTAGATATTGATGAACCTTCCAGTCAAATGAGACACCACTTGTGCCTGAAAAAGTCCACTATGTTGGAGCGAAACGTCGGATAAAAAAAGTTTCCATCTTTCAATTTATTATAAAACCTCATACCCAAGAAAAGGAAAAAATAATATATGGATATGGTCTATTAAAGAGGTAACTATTAACATCCGAACCCCTCATACCGACAAAATGAACAGTAACAACGCGAAAAAGTAACATATTAGAAAATGATGTACAGAAATATCTTATATGTGAGGATACTTCATCTACCTGCGATTTGGATACTATAAATTTGGAAGATTCTGTCAGCAGTGATTCTCCTGAATCAGAGTAGTTACGATCTATGCATTTTGTTGTCCTAAAGTAAATTTATAGTATCTTAAGTTTTTTTTAATTAAATATAACATTAATGTTTCTTTTTCATTAAAGAAAAACATTTTTATCTTATATTAGGCTTATATTGTAGGAATCATGTTCTAATGATATTTCAATTCTTTTTTATCACTGGAATTTATTTAATACTTACACCGTTTTCATACTATAACTTATTATTTGCTTAGATGGAATACAGCTCCAACATTATTATTATTTATAAGATTTTTTTTTCATAAACGTGGGACTAAGAACATCATCATTTAGTACAATGAGAGTACTCATCATTTGTGTCAAATAAACCTAGTTTGAATATATTGCTTACAATAAAAGAGAAGTTTTGAATTTTTGTCCTCTAGAGCCATATGTTCGAAGCACTGTGAGGCGTTCTGAAAAGTTTTCTAAAATATCCAGGAAAATTTAGAAGAAAATACACGATTTCCAACATTTTTTTTACTAAAAACTTTATAGACATGTTTTAAAAACTTTATAGACGGAGTTTATAATCATCTGCTGATGATGCTAACATGGTTAGCGAAACGCGCATCCAGTGTAAAAGTAAAAGTGTTTTGGTATATTGTGGTGATTTAGTGTTTTTATTTTGCTGTTTAACACCAAAGGTTCCAACCCTCAACTGTAATAAAAGACGTGCTCCTGGGGTCGAAATATACCACCCCTAAAAATATTTGCACTTATTAAAGAATCAACCTGTATATACTTAATATATTAGAAGTTAATTATATTTATTCGTATTTTAAGGGTTTTGGCCAAGTTTTCGAGAAAATCCGCCTGTGTGAGACGCCTGAAATAAGAAAGTATGCGATCCGTATTTCTTGGATAGATTCGAGCGGTTTTAAAAATAGTCGCCTTCCGATCAAAAGAGGGGTGTTTATAAATAAATCGGCTTGCCTGGGGAGGGGACCGCTGAAACATGTAAATGTACCGAATTCTTTTTTGGTGACGTATGCGCTTTTCCGCCACATTGCAGAGAAAGTAAAAGGTATTATTATTATTCCAGCGTTTCCTGTTTTTTCGGCTGAAAAATCAGCGGAAACGCGCGACACGTCAAAGCCAACTTGTACTTAATATATCTTGGTTAAAGACCTGAGTGTTTTTGAGTTATTTTGCTTTTTTTCGTTTATAATGTGTTCCTTTTTCAGGTAAATGTGTGATCCTTAGAGAAACAATTTTAGAAACATTTGTTTGATCACACTGAACGTAACTGTTAAACGGTGTTTACACTAGATGCAATTGGATGCAACGCAATTTTTAAAAATGGCATGCAATTCGGTTGCGATAAAATACATGCCATAATTTTGAGAATCCATTGTGCCAACCTAAATAAAATTACTATAACAACTGTCTCATTTATTTTTTTATTTTATCTTCAAGGTATCGTTGTGTATGTCTTATTAAAGGTTTTTAGATTTTGTAGTTTGAGTTTGTATCTTAATTTATTCTTATTTGTACCTATAACATGAATTGTAAAACAGAAACGATATTATTTTAATTATAAATTTGATTTTTTTGGTTGGTAGAAGCAAAAATTGCATGCTACGTGCAATCAAATTAGCGCGTGTTCTAATTCCATGCAATGCAATGAAAATTGCATCAGCTGATCGAAAAGTGTGAAGTGCGCATGCGTTCGGGCAACTAAAATTGCCATTGCACCGCATTACACGTAGTGTAAACAGGCCTTTAAAGTAGTATAAATTAATCTATCTAAAAATATTATAAATTAAGGATGTTTGAAAGTGCTCATATTATACAGGGTGAGTTTCCTACGATGTTCTCTATGGGTATCTCGGAAACTACTGGAGATAGAGAGTCGGTTAAATGGGGAAAGAATTGCAGTTTTGTGGGGTCATAAATATGCGCCTTTCAGATTTTTGAAAAAGTTCATGGCTTACTAGATATTGCAGAAAAACTAATTTTGGCAATTTTGAAAATTGTCTCTAATTCCATAATAATCTATTTTAGATAAAAAGTTTTCAGATAAAAGTTGTAGATAATCACATCCCTAAAGAGTTTGTGTTCTCCGATTTTTTTTCTCTAAAGTGTGTCATTTTTGACATATGACACAAACATATGTTTATTTTAAATGGAAACCATAGTTAACCACAATGACTAAAGAATCTAAGGACAAATAACGAGAGCAAATTGTGACGATGACACCAAACAGTGCCGTGGCACATATTTTTCTTAACCTAGCTGTTTGAAGCAATATTTATATTTTTTGATAATTGTTTTGACTACGCCTATGGTGTATCATCCTAATTAATTACGAAAAAAACGTATTAAAATGTTAACAAAAGGTACAAAACTAGTATCGACGTATAGCACATATCAAGTACATATAGATGTTAATTGAAATTGAAGAATAATTATCGAATTCAATAAGAAAACGCTAAAAGTTGGAGTGGACCAAATACGTTCAAATAAAATATACGGAGCGTACCGCTTAAATTCCTGTCCCGATGTTGAAGGATGGCTATAGAATGTCAATGCATTTCCTACATAAGTCTATCCTTGTTCGGGAGGAGGTTTTCTGCGCTTGCTCGATCTGTAAGCACTTTGATTGGACAGTTCCAAATCATATGATATGTTTTGTTCTGGTTTTATTTATTTTAAGTTGAGGTTAAAGACGTTCAGATAATTGAATTAAATCTTTCGAAAAATTGGAAGCTTTTTGTTAAATATTCTGAAATCAAATAAGTTTGATAATGTAACATTATGCGCATATTTATCAATTGAGATATTTTAATTGTATCCAACATGTTAGGGCAAAACACTTTTTCGACCAAAAGTTTTCAGATATCTTCGATTTAGTTATTTTCGAATGTTCATTTTGTTTATATCTATTACAAACTCAAGGAGCAACAGTTTTTTACAAGTAGTGTTAATTTTGATGCTGGTGCAATACTTCTACTCGTTAAAATAAGTTTATTATAAATATTACAGACATTTAAAAGAATAGGCTATGGAATAGGTATATAAAAATTATTTTATATCTGTCTCACAATGGGGGGCTCCTAGTAGCGTAATAGGTATCTGCAGTGCGATTCTGTAAACATTTCCCTGTCTAGTGACTCATCAATCGTATACAAATAGCATAGGCTCGATAGGAAATTTCTTGCTTTTGAAACTTTTTCAAAATCTGAAAGGCGCATATTTATGATCCCACAAAACTGCAATTCTTTCCCCATTTAACCGACTCCAGTATAGTTTCCGAGATACCCATAGAGAACATCGTAGGAAACTCACCCTGTATTATTGTATCCCCCTTCTTTTAATTATAACTCTCATACAGTCTCAGGACTTTGACAAAAGCTAGTATCTGAGTCGGTTTTACAGAGAGGTTAGTTCTCCATCTCCGATATCAAACTTACCAAAGTTTACGGCACGAATGTTTTTCGTTTAGGTACACTCAGTGATGCGGTTTTCTGGTGTTTTCCCATTTTACCCTCATGATCAGCAATCGCCGTTGATGCTGCGCTTCAATCTTTTGATGTGTTTCATTGAGGAGACTGTTATCCTGTTGTCCTGTGTTAAAAACCCGTGACAATTCGAAGATTGTTCATACTCAAATCAAGTGAAATCTATGATTTTTCTCGGTCGTAACTTCAGCGAAATTACTTTGAGTGTCGTAGACCGTTGGAGGAGTTCCTATTCCAGGTTACGGATAGTTTTCCAGGTTCTTGAGTTCCTGAAAACCGCAACCGAATTATTCTCTTGTTAGTTTTTTTAGGATAATTAGGGTACGCTCTGACAAAAGTGAAAACAATACAGTTTTATGGAGCCGATTGGCCCAATATTCGATTGCATTGCGTGCCCTTAGGCTATACGCTAACAGGCAATTTTTAATTAGCCGATTATTTAGTTGTATAGTTGTAACTAATATATTCCTATGGAGCCGCGCTCGCATGCAATCAAATAGTCAGCCGATCGGCTCTATAAGTATGTACATTAGCGTAACTAGCAATTCATCCTGGAGGGTGCCTATGGCTTTCGTTTTTTAAGAAATTAAGAATAATATAAGGTACAGCTCTCGTCTACCAATACAAAGGTTGTGGGTTCGAATCCCACACCCGGTATTTCATCAGCCTACTATTTTTAATAAAATAAAAATAGTTTGGATACCTAGGTCGACTCAGCCTTAAATGAGTACTTGGGATTTCCAATCCTGAGGTAATAATAGGCGGTTGAAGCATAATGCTAGCCATATTACCTTCCTTGTATACCGAACGGCTCTAACATGGCAAGCTCTTGAGAATAATTTTAAAAAACACATTTTTTGAATAATACGTTTACACGAATTTCTCTATCAAAAAATTTTATAGACTTGGTTATCAAACCGTGTTCCCGTAGATTACTTAAATACCTACAAATTTTCTAAAAAAAATAAAAAATAACACATTTTTTGACCATAACAAAATAATATTAACTAAACAAAACTAGAAAACATCATTTTTACTACAAGCAAATACAAATTAATACGTAGCCAAGAGTCATACTTCAAGATTTCTCTGGGGGGTGCCGTTAGTTACGCCAATGAGTATGTATTGTTTTCACTTTTGCAACTAAATAGTCGGCCTAAAAATTACAGGTCAACAAGTAGGCTTATTATTTCGAATTTCCCTTTACAGTATACGATATCCAAACTATTTAAAACTGTAAATCTGGGAATTCAAGGGGTCTTGCTTTCAAAATAATATTTTTTTTTGGAAAATATTAATTTGAAAATTTTGAATTACGAATAGTTTATTTTGATTGGAAGGTTTATCTGCTTCAGAATTCATGCGCTGATTCCATGTTCTGTAATACAACATGATCGAAAAAAAAACGGCGTCAGCGACGGCTATGAAATAAAAATCGCGGTCATTTTATACGTAAAATTATATGGGGAATGTCATCGATGTTCATTTCCAAGCCAACTGGACACCGTTTTTTTTTCGATCGTACGGTATATAACAACATAAATACACTTTTTTCAGAATCTTTATCTCAAGTGGTTCGTCTGATGACTAAATAAATAATTACTAATAAACTTGAACAACCCATTTCTGTACATTTTTAGTAACAAGTTGATGTTTTTATCTAATCTGTTAACATCAGTAATATATAAATATAAAAAATATTAGTAAGTAACCCATTAGCTAAAATATATTATTTGTTGCCATTTCACATTTCAAAAAAATAAAACCATGTCTAACTTACTCTCTGTCGAAGAAGAATGGATTAATTTCAAGGTAAATATTATATTACTGTAGTTATGTCTCGATATTTATGTCGTTTATATATTAAAATTAATATTTATTTATATAAACAAATAAATCTATATTAAATATACTTCGAATTAGTCAATAATACCAGAAATTATTTCGATTTTTGACATTAAATATGTCAAAAATTATAAATTTCCCTATAAACCATAAATTAGATTAATAATTATTATTTGGAATATATTATAATATTTACAGTAAAGGGTTATTTGGTTACAGATTAAATCAAATAAATTGTATGAAAATAAATATTACCGCCGAATTATTATTATGAATTATCAATAAATTTAGCAGTATTAGCGGATGTATAGAGCATATCAAATAAACTTTTAATCACGTCATTAAGCTTGCCCACTTTTGCATATTTTCTTTTAATCAAAATATTTTAGGGAACAAAAATTTAATTTATTATAAATATATGAAGAGTTATTATTTAGATCAACAAATCTCAACTTCTTAACAGCACTTAGGCGATATAAAGGGCCATTACTACCACTTTTCCGTTCAAAATATTCTAATAGAGTTGCGATGAGTTTTTTACGGCTATTAAGCTATTTTGTACACTTCGCACTAAAAGAGGTTCTAAGAAGAACAATGTTCGACTCCAAGGTCCGCTAGTAAAAAATTTTAAGCTCAAAGGTATTCCAACATAGCTCATTTAAACCAAAAACTCATCGTAATACAACACTAAAATGTCAGAAAGAATGACAATGTCAGGAAATAAACAAATAAATGTGGCCACTTGACATTTTTTGCAGCAGACCTACCACCTGAATCCCTAGCGGGAAATTTAAATTCCAGTTAGTCAGCTCGGCGCCAAATATGTCCATGGTGGGCAACAATGAATTTAAAAATGGCGCTTTCGATTATATAACTCAAAGTTTAAATGGTATCAATATCAATGTAGTTTAATAGTATTTTTTTATAAAACTGCTTTTATTAAATCGTATATCTACGATTTCTAGGATTAATAAATAATATTTTCTTGCCTTTAGCTGTGTATTTTTTCTAATTTCGAAAAATCGAAAGTAGAGAAAAAATAAAAAAGTAAAAAGTAAAAAGAAAATTGTTTTGCCTGTCGTAAAGGGGGGAACCAAGCTCCACTCCCACAACCGGTTTCTGGGCCTACCCTTCATCAGGTGGGCTGTCCAGGGGCTGGTTCTCACCGATACGGCAAGCAAAACTGCTTCTATATCAACAGACGATGTCGTAAAGTGTCGGTGAGATATTAGTGCATCTCCCGTCAAAAGATGGTAAAGAGTGTTTTTCGGCCCGCTCAAATATATATGAAATGAAGAAAATTCTTACAGCTTTAATAATATTTTCTTGCCTTTAGCTGTGTATTTTTTCTAATTTCGAAAAATCGAAAGTACAGAAAAAATAAAAAAGTAAAAAGTGAAAAGAAAATTGTTTTGCTTGTCGTAAAGGGGGGAACCAAGCTCCACTCCCACAACCGGTTTCTGGGCCTACCCTTCATAAGGTGGGCTGTCCAGGGGCTGGTTCTCACCGATACAGCGAGCAAAACTGCTTCTATATGAACAGACGATGTCGTAAATTGTCGGTGAGATATTAGTGCATCTCCCGTCAAAAGATGGTAAAGAGTGTTTTTCGGCCCGCTGAAATATATATGAAATGAACAAAATTCTTACAGATTTAATAATATTTTCTTGCCTTTAGCTGTGTATTTTTTCTAATTTCGAAAAAATAAAAAAATAAAAAGTAAAAAGAAAATTGTTTTGCTTGGCGTAAAGGGGGGAACCAAGCTCCACTCACACAACCGGTTTCTGGGCCTACCCTTCATCAGGTGAGCTGTCCAGGGGCTGGTTCTCACCGATACGGCAAGCAAAACTGCTTCTATATCAACAGACGATGTCGTAAAGTGTCGGTAAGATATTAGTGCATCTCCCGTCAAAAGATGGTAAAGAGTGTTTTTCGGCCCGCTCAAATATATATGAAATGAACAAAATTCTTACAGCTTTAATAATATTTTCTTGCCTTTAGCTGTGTATTTTTCCTAATTTCGAAAAATCGAAAGTAGAGAAAAAATAAAAAGTAAAAAGAAAATTGTTTTGCTTGTCGTAAAGGGGGGAACCAAGCTCCACTCCCACAACCGGTTTGTGGGCCTACCCTTCATCAGGTGGGCTGTCCAGGGGCTGGTTCTCACCGATATGGCAAGCAAAACTGCTTCTATATCAACAGACGATGTCGTAAAGTGTCGGTAAGATATTAGTGCATCTCCCGTCAAAAGATGGTAAAGAGTGTTTTTCGGCCCGCTGAAATATATATGAAATGAAGAAAATTCTTACAGCTTTAATAATATTTTCTTGCCTTTACCTGTGTGTTTTTTCTAATTTCGAAAAATCGAAAGTAGAGAAAAAATAAAAAAGTAAAATGTAAAAAGAAAATTGTTTTGCTTGTCGTAAAGGGGGGTACCAAGCTCCACTCCCACAACCAGTTTCTGGGCCTACCCTTCATCAGGTGAGCTGTCCAGGGGCTGGTTCTCACCGATACGGCAAGCAAAACTGCTTCTATATCAACAGACGATGTCGTAAAGTGTCGGTGAGATATTAGTGCATCTCCCGTCAAAAGATGGTAAAGAGTGTTTTTCGGCCCGCTCAAATGAAATGAACAAAAAAAAAGCTGTAAGAATTTTGTTCATTTCATATATATTTTAGCGATATATTATTTATTAATATACACTAAAGCTGTAAGAATTTTGTTCATTTCATTGATATCTAGGATTATACAAATGTTCAGTAAAACTACAAACTTGGGAAGAACTGTATTCAAAAAGTGTATTTTCTGATTGGTCGAAAAAAATGATAAAGTGAACATAATGTTTTCTACTTTACAGTCAAAATTCAACAAGTCATACGACTCTGAAGAAGAGGAACAAAAACGGTACCAGATCTTCCAAGACAATTACGACAAAGTTGTGGAACACAACAAGAAGTTCGAAGCTGGTGAAGAGAGTTCATCACTTGCCATCAATCAGTTCTCTGACCAAAGCCAAGAGGAATTCAGTAAGAAGAGTACCGGTTTAAAAGCCACAGGTTTGAGAGCTACTGGTTTAGCTAGACCTGCACCTCAATAGAAATACTAATATTTAGTGCTATTATTAGATAGTTTTTGATAAAAATATATATTAATCGAAAAATGTTTTATATGTTTTAATAAAATAATTTACTAAATAAGTGTACTTTTATTTTCTGACTATTATTTTTATATTTTATACCCTAGTGGTCTAGTTTTGTTGATATAGCAAAAATCATATTCAGGGGAAATTTTATATTTTTACAAAGTGTTATTTATGTATTCCGGAGATAATTAGGCTAAAATATTATCACGATTGGTATAGGTACTACCTCCTGTTATACAGAGTGGTCCGAACTGTATCCCGGCAGCATTTTCTGTATATAAAAATAAGTAAAAAAGTTCGTATAAATGTATGTCCTAAAATGCTTAGATGCGGAGACACAGGGTGTAGAAGTTTCATTCTTATTTCGATTTTTTCCAAATAATTTCTAAAGTAACGTCAATATGTGGATGAAATTTGGTATCTGTTGGCTTTTTTATATGAGACATTTGATTTTGTTTGTTAATAAGACTCCTACTTAAAGAGGGCGCCATCTTTTACGGTTCAAAATATTCTAATAGAATTGCGATGAGTTTTTTACGGCTATTAAGCTATCTTGTACACTTCGCACTAAAAGAGGTTCTAAGAAGAACAATGTTCGACTGCAAGGTCCGCTAGTAAAATTTTTTAAGCTCAAAGGTATTCCAACATAACTCATTTAAACCAAAAACTCATCGTAATACAAAACTAAAATGTCAGAACGAATGACAATGTCGGGAAATAAACAAATAAATGTAGCCACTTGACATTCTTTGCAGCAGAGCTACCACCTGAATCCCCAGCGGGAAATTTAAATTACAGTTAGTCAGCTCGGCGCCAAATATGTCCATGGTTGGCAACCATGAACTTAAAAATCGCGCCTTCGATTAAGTAACTAAAAGTTTAAATGGTATCAAATGTAGTTTAATAGTAATGTTTTTTTTATAAAACCGCTTTTATTAAATCGTATTATCTAGGATGGGAAGAATTGTATTTAAATTTAAAGAGTGTATTTTCTGATTGGTCGAAAAAAATGATAAAGTGAACATAATGTTTTGTACTTTACAGTCAAAATTCAGCAAGTCATATGACTCTGAAGAAGAAGAACAAAAGCGATAGATCTTCCAAGACAATTACAGAGTAATAAACAGAGTTATTTGAATGAATTCTGGCCAGTTATCATAAAAGCATAGCCAGTACAGGTTAAATTCGAAATTAATGTTAGGTGCTTTTTATACATTTGACAAAAAATGCACAAACACTTCTGCAAATATCAAAAATTTAGAAATAACTAGTGTGACTACTTCGTTTCAATCGAAGTAGAAAGAATCGGCCTAAAAATATGTGGTTGTGGTTTGGTTTGAACAAAATCATCCATATAGGAAAATACATTTTTTATACTGACTTTTGTCAAAGCCCTGACCAAATAAGGACACGACAGATCTATAAGGCCTACAAACTACACTGAAAAATAAGAAAAGTAACAAGGACTCAATAAATTAAAAATCGAATTAAAAGGGCCAGTAGGACGCCGCACCGTAGGACGAAAGAGCAAAGTTCCGAGAGTTATAACGAAGTTATTCCCTTATATTAAGTTTCGATAATCAAATAAATTCGACGGCAAAAGAGCGGCTTTACGTCAATGTCTGAGCGAATAAGAAAAACACGAAATTGGGTCGAGGGGAATCCAATAAACGATGAGTATTTTGTGACAGACGTCTGATATATTTAGAACAAGGGCTAAACAGTTTTTAAAGCAAAAAAATATTTTTCTTACTTATTTCTATTTTTATCACCAAAATTCCATCATTGATCCTGATATAGAGATTGATTCATAATGTCAATACTTGTTCGATTTATTCATCAACATTTGTTCGTTATTGTATAATATTTCTTGTTTATTTTATGTCGACAATAAAAATTGATAGAAATGAAACCTAGAAATTAACCTGGCCAAAATTATCATCGATTTTCATTCCCCAGCCGTCTTTAACGCCGTTATTTTTTCCGATCATACGGTACATTGTTTAGGGGGGTATGCTATATTATTTGTAAGGGAATAAGCTTAAAACAGAAATAATAATCCAAGTCCGTATACCGGGTGCGTCTCAAAAGAGGCTCACCTCTATAACTTTTTTATTTTTTCAGATAATAAAGCGAGATTTGGTATGTTAGTACTTATATGACATAAATTAGGATTGATTGACTTATTCAATTGTTTTTGGTCACTTCCTGTTTCACCGGAAATGACTACAACTTTAGATTTTTAAATGACACCCTCAGTATGTTTTTACTTTATTCGATAGAAAATCACACTTTGAATGGAATGACATACCTATCATATGTCAACTTTTGACATTTTTGCATATGGTCTATTTGAAATTGTAACATAGAATAGAATAGAATAATTTATTGATGTCAATACCATACAAATAGTGGCGTACATAAGTCAAAATATAAAATAAAATACATATATAAAACACAATTAACTTAAAAATTAACACAAAAGACATAAAGTTAAAACCATCATATTATGATGGGTATACAATGACAGTTAAAATAAAAAATATCTCAAGTTATTCTTTTGAATGTGGGTTTTAGTGCTCTTCAATAAACCTAAATAGAATTATTCTCTAAAATAATTAGGGAAGCCAATAATTGACCCCATTAAAATTTACGTGGGATTTCCTATGTCCCGCTCGACGATGCAACACCCGGTTTATATATATAACACGTGACTAAAAGTTTATTTGATATGAACTGTATAAGGTTGGCAGATAGAAAAAATTATAAATAGATCCGAAATAAAACAAAAGTAATACATTATAAAAGAGAAGCACCAAAATTAAAATAAAAGTTTGCCAGAAGCCCTGGAAAAATAAAAAAAAAATTGAGGAGGTCCTAAGGAACAAAGGCAGGCACAAATTGATGAGCATGGAGAATTGACAGAGACGAGTGAAAGAGATTGGGGAAGACCTATGCCCAACGATGGACCAAAGAAGGCCAAATAGATAAATGGATAGACCAACCACTAATCTTAACATATTCTTAAAGAAGATTGCCAATTATTCAATTATAGGTAATTGCTCCGTGTTACTTTTACAGCGTATTATCTTGTATGATCGTTCGCAGACTAGAAACATGAAAAATAATAGAAGGAATCTTCCCAGCTAAGTCAATTAAATTATTTAGTTAATTACAAAAAGAAAATCCTTAATATGATATATTCTAAACGCCTGGAATTGTACGTATTCTAACGAAATAAGAGACTTCCAGTCTGATACTTAGTAAACTGATACAGATAAGTAAATATTATCACGAAATCTGACAAAATAAGTGTAGCCCGATAGCGGAAAAAAGATTTGGGGTATTAAGTTGCAGGAGTCATCGATCTATAAGCTACTAAATTTATCGATTACGTAGATAACTTATATACCTAATTTCGTTTATAGATAAAAATATATACTTAGTCAGTCTGTACTGAAGACGATACTTGAATACATATTTTGATAAAAAATATTGTAAGGATTTACAAGGACTAAATAAATATACTAGATTTTTTAATTTTCAACCTGAGACTGTTAAAGCAAATGACCTAATCTATATAATGTATGAACTGCATGTAAGGTATGTACTAGGTATGTTTTACCGGAAACTCGTATTCTATGAGAAATGATCGAAGGTATACAGGATATGTTAAAGATTTTAGGAAATATCATCAGAGCAGTAAATTTGGTGCAATAAATAAAAAGAAATAAACGACACAGATACATTTGTTTCTATATTTTTAATTTTTTATCGTACGAAATTTTCATGGAAAATGCTTAGACGACAATTATTATCTGTATGACACACGGCAAACTCAGTGTCACCAATGCTCACTGGTCGAATATTCAACCGCCTACGTTAAATTCAACCTGCCAACTAACTACGTTCACCACATACGACACGGAGTATTGTAGCTAAACGATGGGATTTTTACAAATTGTAAGTTTTGGGTTCGATGAAGGACTATTAGAGGTACAATTTAAAAATAATTTTACAAGATACAGAGTGTCCCAAATAAGTAAAAAATATCAAAGTTGTAAATAAAGGTAAATTTGATTAAGATTTATTATACTTAAACCTTACCGTTTTTGAAATATTTTCAATTTTGTGAAATTGCAGTAAAAATTTTAAGGCTTCATTTCTCCAAGGGTATCAAAGTTTTTAATACTAAATATTTACTGAAGTTTATTTACTGATCAGTTATTGTGTTGCAATAATAAAAATAATACTACCTTATACAGAGTGTCTAAAAATTTATTTTAAATAATTATTAGCTTCAAACGGCAATAACTTGTTTAATTTAAACAGAACACCCTGTATATTTTACGAGAATCAGATGTACAATTTAATTGTCTATCAAATTATATTATACCATTTTTTACCTATCTCTTTAAGTTTCCGTAGAAAATGCATTTTCTTGTAATTTAGAACTTATTTATCAATATACCCATGGACTATTGACATTTTAGATTATTTTTAAAGATGTACCAAATTTTTAAAGAGTACAGATACTAATATTGTCGATATAATTCGTTTATTTCATTAAAAAATAAAAAAAAAGCTGTTTAAATATTTGTTAAAGAGGGCCAATTAATATGATTCCAGTATTCAAACTACATTAACTGACTGTTTGCGTTGATTAATAATAATTGCTCCAAATACTAAAAAACTGAATTTTGTATGGGCATTAGACGAAAAGTAAATTAGAGAAAAGTAACATCTTAAAAATGATATTTCATTTTTTAATAAATGCTTATTTATAACAACAGAGACTTTAATTTGATAACTTATTATTATATTGATTTCTGACTCAAATCCACATTTATTTATAATAATTTATTAACGAACACAATTAAGTATGTAATTAATTAGTGTATGGGCGGAAATAATGGTGTTATATTTAATTAATGGTATACTCTTTTATAAAGATTTAAATAGTTTTCTTTTTGCATACAAATGGGCTAGTAATATTATCGTTTTGCAAAAAACGATAATATTACTAGTCTGTACATTTTGTACATTTGTTGCTTT